GTGAGGTTTTGGCCCTGGCTCCTTCAGTAGCTGGTTCAGATATGAAATGAGGCTCACAAAGCTTGAGATGTGGTCAGTCATGGGTAGAAGCAGTGAATGAACAACAAAGATCGGGATCACGTTCAGGCTTTGTGGAAGCCGTGGAGTTCCCTCTACCCTCTTCTCCTCCCTGCACTTGCAATGCTATCTAACTCAGCCTTACGCAGGTATTCTTCTGGCTTGGGGGTCTGGGCAATTGTCTTGTCAACCTTAAACGTGGTCTGTATGCACGAGGCGTTACAACAAAGCTCATAAATGTGGCTGAGGCTCATTGAAGCACTCAGAACAGCTGAGGTTTGTGGACACTTGTGCAGGCTTGCCCTCCCCAAGGAGCCTCCAACGCCCAGAGGAGTTTGGTACCTTGGCTTCCGTGTTTTACCTGCTCTGTAGCATATTAATGCCCCAATTCTAAGCCCAGCTTGCTCGCTGAGAGCTAGAGATCTGTGTAACTGATACCCCCAAAAATTAAATAAATGCTTGAATAGCTAATGGAAAAAAAAAAAAGAAGAAAAAAAAAAAGGAAGAAAAAAAAAAAAGCCTTAGTCTGGGATTGGAAGGGTTGTGAAGAGTGTAGAAAGGCCTAACAGCTCCGTAATGCACAAACACAGGGTAGCATGCCTAGCAAAGGTGCTCCTGCACTACCTTCCCACTTCTGCCCTTATGTAAGCTGACATCTGACAGGAATATCATTAACATCTCATTGCAGAGATTTAGCAAATTGAATGACTGTAGCAAGTGGAAAATGTCTCCATATGTATTACAATTTGAAATAGTCTTCCGTACAGTAACAACGATGAAATGTGGGTTTCTGCTGAGCATGGAGGAGTGAGGTGGGTCTGAAATACATGTGGTTCCTTTGAAATTTCGGGTGCGTAGTAATATTCAGCTCTAGTCATATCTATTCAGAATAGAAGTGAAGAAATGGTGAAGAGGCACAGCTACGTTTAGAGGCTTAGTAGTGGCAGCATGTCACCGAATGAAAGGTTGAACTGAAGGGCTCCCTTGTGATAGGACCAGTAAGATGTGTTTAAAGAAATTAATATTAGAGAGCTGTGTTCTGTGGGCTGCAGCTCTCCGGATTATGCAGAGGTAAATGAGTGTGAGGCTTACATCTCAGGATTGTAATAATTTCTGTGCTTCGTGTAGCAAGAACTGCTCAAGCTCCAATATTCTCTCTCTCTCTCTCCCTTTTTTGTAGCTGTTGATGAAACACTTCAGAATTCTTACAGTGAAAATGAGAGTTGCTCAAATTTAGCTTCAGTCCTGCGTGATCATCCTGGGACGGTTGCTGCTCATTAGTAAGCAAGAAAATTTCTTCTGATTTATTTTATCCTACAAGACACGATACTTAAATACTAGGATACAATGTATTTGAAATAGAGTGACTTCATTTTATACAACATGAATTCATTTCCTATTGCACATATGTTAGATTTGGTTTTATAGAAAAAGATTGATACTTCGTGAGTGATAACAGCATCTGTAGTTGCACTGGAGAGACAATGGAAGACAGAGCCGACAGGGATCAGGCAGGATCTGCCCTGCGTGCCATGTTTCTGCACAGTTACACTGGCTGCATTGCAGGTGTTTGCTTCTTTCTCCTGAACGCTTTGGTACTGGCGAGTCCCTGCTGCGTGTCACATTGCTGACTGAGGCATACCGGGAGTTTCTTTCATCTCTGCTTGGGTGCTGAGTTAGAAATAGGCCCAGACAGCTCTGCAGATGGAAAATGCCATCACTTGTACTGGTTTCTAATTGTCCTAGGAAACAAGACACCAGTACTGTAAGTGTGAGGACGAGGCTGTTTTGGGAATGTGATTTGGGCTCTAGGAATGCAAGAACAGAATTCCTCCCTTTTATTTGGAAGAGAAACAAAAGAACGTAAGGCTTTCTGTCTGTAATCTCACATGAGCATAACCAGAGCTGGCCATGCTCCAGTCAGCACCAAACAGAGAGCTGCCAAGAGCCCCAGCAAAGCTTGGAGCTCAAGTGGCTTGAACACAGTAGTTAGTTCTGCCTCTGTGGTGTTTGTACTGTAATTCTAGGCAGCAACTGCACCTTGTGACAGAGAGGCTAGCTCAGATAGAGTAATCGGCCAAGCTGCCAGAACTCCTGAGCAGTTACAACAGCAGACCTGTTCTGCTCCCATGCAATACTTCCTGCAATTTCTACATTGGCCCTGCCTTCCCTGGCTTTCTTTGAGTAGGACAAAATGGACCAGAAGTCTGGCTTCGAGCTCTGAAAGATATTTTGCTGCCTCTTTAATCTTCATAGCCTGGCAATCTTTGTTCAGATCCCTCAATTGGGTGGAAAAAACTAACCATTCCATTTGTATTTTTGCTTCTGAAAGAAGTATGGCAGCAGGAAGAAGGTCCCTAACACTCATGTATGGGCTCCCTCCCCCTCTCCCCCAGCTGTGGTGTTGCAGACCTCAGGCAAACCTCCACGAACACGTGCTGAACTGGCATGTTTGTGACAGACTGAGGTGATTGTGCATGACATGAGTTAGTACCAGAAGCCCTTCTAAACTTCCCCAGGGCTGGCCAAAGGGGTTTGTATCGTGTTCCATACATACCTGCTATCACAGGAGGTGTAGAGATGACCAACAGCAACCAGGAAGAGGAGGCCCAGGAGACTAGCAAGGCTGATGACACAGTGAAGAAACTGCGTACTATTCTCTAAGGAGAAACAGCCGCTATTTTAAGTACATCTCACAGACCGTTTGTTTACCCTGTGCCTCTGTCAGGATGGCATCTTCTAGACAATGCTCTCTTTGTGCTGTACTTCGGAGGATGACCTAAGGTGGCTGGTATACAGTGCCGGGCACAGAACTGGGAATAAACAACATCCCCCTATGCCCTTGATGGAGGAGCCTTGTTTTTTGCTGTATGGGCACTAATTAGATCCCCCTCCTCACCACTTCCCATAATCCAGCTGCAGGCCTTGCATGTGCATCCCAGCAAATTTCAGCTCTGATTCTCTTCCAACTGAGTACTTCAGTGAAGTGCGTATGGTTGCACCCAACTTCCCAGCAATGTCTTCAACTCCACCGCCTAAAGCCTTCACCTACCAGCCAGTCTTTGGAAGCTGTAAATTGGCTTTCAGTCTTCCTGTCACAACCTATGTGTAACCCAACAGTCAGCAAGATATAATGGTAAAACGGGATTATGATACATAGATCTGGGTGATCATACCATTGACGTGTTTGTGCGTCATGAACTTCTGAATAGTCCTGCCTTTCCATTCAGCCCTATTGGTGGAAGGGAAGACTACTCCATCTCCTTTCCTAGAATTTCACAAAGGGCTTTACAGTTCTGACAGCGCTTTCGTCTATTCTTCCCCCTCCTGACAAATTTCTCACTGGAAACCTCAGCTCAGCTGCACGGTTCCTGCTGCAATCCTGCCAGTGCCACTTTCCAACCTAAACGATTCTATGATTCTATGTTTGTCTCAGTGCACGAACAGAGGGCTAAACGGGGTTTTGAGTGCCGAACGCACGAAGGGAAGCTTACTTGAGGGGTGACAGGCTATGGACTTGCTCTGGTTCCCAGCTGGGTGGGACACAATGCAGGTGGTATTAGTCACGTTGCTGCTGTGTGCTGTGAACTTGCTGAGAACAGTCACTGTCCCGTTGTCATGGACTTCTTCCTTGGGGGTGGAGTTGCCCTCTAGGACCCACAAGACCTGAGCAGCCGGCTTCCCTGCCACTGGC